AAGCAGCATGATAGAAGGGAAGCATTAATGTTTTCACTGGACTAGTCCCAATATTTAGTTTGTAGTAATAGCAATTAGTTTCAGAGTGGTAAATGGTTTGGGAGTTTCATTGTTTTTTTTTGTTGTTTTATTTGAAAAGTTTTGCTATAAGAGGTGTGTACTAACTGGAGAAGACAGAGATAGGGAGAGAGGGAAAGTGAGAAAGCACCTCCAATGAGGATGGCCATACTGCAATTCCTTCTCCTCCATTCTCCTCTTGGGATTTTGGGTATGCGTACACATGTGCCCGGTGTGTTTTTCAGGCCATGGGGTTTGGAACTCAAACCGTATAGTTAGCCATGTTGGATCCAACTGCCTTAACCACCACACTGCCTACTGGCCCCAAGTTTTGTATTTGTGTGTTTTTTTTGTTTCTATAAAATGTAATCTCTTTGTCAATACATTCTATAGCTATCCAAAGTGTATACATTTTCCTGTTTCTTTGAGAAAACTAAAGCTAACATCTTATCACTTACATAATCATAAAAGTATCACACAGGGATGATCTTGCAAAGATGTATTGCCATCACTTCCTATTTTGACATTAGGCCAATGCTAGGCAAATCATATCTGAGATTTTCATAACTGTGTGTATTTTAGTAGTAATTACATGGCATTTGCAAACTAAAGTACCCCATATTTACAAAAATGTGCTTCATCTCCACACCCTATATAATTTTGAATTCGTGGAATCAGGCTTTCTCATTATCAGTAAATAGTTCATAGTTTTGTTTATGAAGAAACTCATAAAGCCGAGGATAGCAATTCAATTTTCTTAAAGACATCTCAGTTGCTTTACAGAACAAAAGTTAATTCTTCTTAACTGTGAAAACAGATGATGACAATATGAGAAATGAAGTAATTATTCCCCCAGCCAACACACAATACAAGATAAAAACCTTTCCTCTTAGTCCTGGTCCTCAGAATTCTCATTCCATTTATTCTAAAATAAATAAATAAATAAATAAAGTAAGAAGGACTGGCCTATAAGGCCATATGATGTCTGTCATCTGGCAGGTCCAGGGGAAATAGCTGAAGTCAGATTTGCCATGGGCTTGGCAAAATTCGATAATCGGATGATGGTTTGAAGTCTCAAGGGTGTAGATAGGACATACCTCTTTTCTTTTTCTAGAATCAGGGTAGCCTTGGGATACAGTGAGAAACTGATTTTGTTCAAGACCATTGCTTTATAGTTCACATGAAGATTTTCCACAGCGAGAGATGACACAGTTTGGAATCCAAGATGCCACTCCCAAATAGGCTTACAACTTTTACTGTTTGCGTTCTGAAAGAGAAAATCCAAGAATGCTCAAGGAAACAAATACTGAAAAGATACATGACTGAAATAGCAGAGTGCAACATCAAAGGAGAAACCCATAAAAAAGTTACTTTACAAATTTTTCAAAATGTTGGGACCAGCAAATGGTGTAATGGTCACAATGCTGGAGTCCCATATGACTGATCATGGTTTGAGTCCCATATCTGGTGGCTTAAAACTCACACTGGATGCATATGCTTGCTTGCCCAAAATCCTGAGAGGAGAACGAGGAGAAGGAATTGTGATAGGGCCATCGTCCCACAGGGGCGGGAGTGATTTCTTGATTTCTATCTCTCTGTCTCTCCAGTAAGCACATGTACCCAATAACAAAAATCTCTGTTTAAAAAAAAAAAAAAGTTAAGGAGAAGGATGATGCTTTATTATGCAAATACGTAATAGTGGGAAAAGAAATTGAAGAGTAGATAAATGTATAAATTAATCTGCTTAATCTAAATTCTACTGTAACCAGAAACACACGTTTAGAGTTTTGTTTTGTTTTGAGAGGTTTTTGCTATAGGGCATGTAGGCTTGCCAAAAGGACAGAGAGAGACAGAAAGTGAGAAATTACCCCTCAGGGGGGATGGCCACATCACAATCCCTTCTCCTCCAATCTCCTCTCAGGATCTTGGGCATGCACCCACACGTGACTGGTGTGAATTTTAAGCCACCGGGCCCAGGACTCGAACTGTGGTCAGCTACATGGGAGTCCAGCGACATAGCTATTACACCAACTGCTGGTCCCCCCAGAAACACATATTTAGAGTTCTAAGCATAAAAGTAGAAGATCCTGGTATAAACTTTTAATAGGCATTGGGTGTAAGTTCCATTTTGGAATTATATAATTAGGACTGTGAATATTAAGATAGAGGAAAGGAATTATGGGTAGCTGAAAATGTGATGGATTTACTAAAATAATGCAGAAGACCAAGTAATCCCATTATAGGAACCGGAGAGATCAAGGGGACACCTGGGAATGGACCTCTTCTGGAGTTCTGGCGATGACTGCCAGCTGTTTCTGACTGATGACTACTTGAGGCACGATGATCCAGAGAGTCCATATGGTGCCAAAGGCAAAGGCTTAATTAGATATATCACTTCTAACTGCATAAATCCACACTCCCAGAAGGAAGGAGAGGAATCGTAATGCATATGTCAGAAGGGTGACTTTCAGTGCAACAACTCTGGGAACTAAAATATGCTACATCTTGACACTGTCTATCTTTGGGTTGGAAATTTTTTTTATAGACTAATATTTTTTTAAGGTCCATTTTTATGTATTTCTTCCATGAGAGAGAGACAGGCAGAGAGAGGCATTTCAATAGCATCTTTTTTTCTTTATTTTTTTTGGAGAATTTTTTCTGCTATAGAGCATGTGCATGTGTGCCCACCAGAAAGACAGAGAGACAGAAAGAGAGAAATCACCGCCCCCCCAAGGGGGATGGACACACTACAATCCCTTCTCCTCCATTCTCCTCTCGGGATCTTGGGCACACAGGCACACACACCCAGCGTGAGATTAAGCCACCAGGTCCGGAACTCGAACCGCGGTCAACTACATGGGAGTCCATCGACATAGCCATTACGCTAATTGCGGTCACGCCGCAATCCCTTCTCCTCCATTCTCCTCCCGGGATCTTGGGCACGCACGCACACGTGCCCGGCGTGAGTTTTAAGCCACCGGGTCCGGGACGCGAACCGCGGTCGACTACGTGGGAGTCCAGCGACATAGCCATTACGCTAACTGCTGGTTCCCCCAATAGCATCTTCATATCAAGTTTTACCCCTAGTCTCAGCTGGCCCAGATTACAGGAACATAGGTGCCCAGTAGGCTCAGGAAGGTGCCAGGTCACCAATCCAGAACCTCTCCCATGTGGGTTTAAGTCACATTGCCACTGCACCACCACCTGGCCCCTCAGTGGGAGAATTTAAGGTGATGGTTATTTGTCCTTTTTTTTGGCAATGGACACATGTAACATTTATATTTTATAATGAAAATTTAATCTCTAATGTAACTATATACTATTACACGTGTAAGGAATGAACATAATCTGGCTCTATTGGGTCATCCGAAAAGTCATGACATAGTTTTCTGTTTTTCTATGTGAGAACACATCACGACTTTTCCGATAACCTAATAAAAACTATTGTAAAGCTCAGTTCATGGTCATGTCGCCTATCATAAAATGATCAGAGGTGAAGAATAAGTTGTTGCAAGTATTCAAAAGATCATTGCTAAAAGTCAATGAAGAGATTTTCTTAACTGCATAATTACCTAAACCTTAAAGCAGGTGGAAAATGACGATGCAACGTGAAGGCTGCCTGTGATTATTAGTAAAGGACTTTTAAATTTTATTTCCTTTAAAAAGGAATGAGATCACACAAAATGAAATGCGAACGTTATACTCTTCCTCTCATCATGCACTTCCTATCATTATGGGATTCTTAATGACAGAAGCTTTATATCTCACTGAGGTGTGACCTGAAACTTTAGCCGAGTGATTGGGTCTAAAAGGCCAACACTGGTGACAGTGGGGCCTGAAGCCCCTTGTGGGGTGTAATTTTCCACCTTGCCACTGTTGCTGTGAGAAGCCCTGTGGGAAGATTGGGAATCCCCTAGCGCATGTGCCTGTGTTGAAAGATGGATTTCTCCCTGGTAAATTCTGCTTGGACAAAACATTGCGACACATTCCTATTCCCATGGATTGTATGAGGGGCTTCCAGAAATTCATGGAAAATGGAATTAAAATGTGAGGGGTTGTTTTTGGTACAAGCATTTAAAAACTTTGTATAGTTTTTTCATGATGCGTATTTTCGACTCATTTCTGAGGATCCTTAATATTTACTTCATAGCAATAAAAGTAACCTATTTATTGACTGGTGGCATAAAACCACAGTTGGGGTAAGTGTATTTCTCACACTGATTCTGAAGTCCCTATTCTGTGTATTTATTTGCTAGCGTTTAAGTCATGAAGACTGAAACTAACCCAGGGTCCACAAGTGTGAGGGAGGAAGGAGAAAAGGAATGTGGCTGCCTTGTGGACACCTGGGTTTCATGTGCATGAGACTACAAAATAATCTCTCACCATACTCAAATAAATGCAATTTAGAATACAGTGATCAAATTTTGTGCTCACAAATCAGCTTTTAAAATGTAACTCCATTGACGCAGGAAATGAATAACTTCATCATCTTTCTGAAACCCCCAGCCTCCTTATCTACAAGAGTTAGGACTCAGTTTATTCTGTGAAGCGTAACTGGAATGAATATATCAACTGCGTTTTGACATTTCTTCCTAAGTATTGTTATTAACAATTCACACTGTTTTTTATTCCAGTGGCTTTATGTCAAGTGGTAGTTTCTCAGCTGGAGAAGCAGTTCAAAGTCATTTTGAGCTCCGTTAAACTCACTGCTCTATAGAGCTGTGATCACTTTCATGTCCTCCTTCAACGGCCAAGCCTCTCTTTTGTGTCTTGTTTGGAAAGTCACAAGCAGCAACTGATCAGCATTAGGATGGATGAGCATGATTTGATTTTTCCATCGATACGGTATATAATATTTAGTATCTGTGAATTGCCTTATGGTATAGGATTGACTTTCCATAGCAGGTAAAGGAAAGGGATTATTAAATGAAAGGATTACCTATTTTGTTTTTGAGGAAATGTTTCATCTGAAAAACAGAAGCCTGACAAACATACCTGATGTGTACAGTTACCATAGAACCAACAGGACCTTGCCAGCTGTTTACACTTCGGATGTAAAATGGCAATTTGACATAGACCAACAGTGTGATGTGAGCAACTGCGTAAAAAGGCTACATATGGAGCATGCCCAGTGCGAGTACATCCTCCCCCCTCCCCCTCCAGATCGCTAAAGATAAGGCTTGAACTTTGCACTTGCAAATATGGGTGCATAGGTTTCTTTAAAAAAAAAAAAAAAAAAACTAGGTTGGTTGATTTGTTTTTTAAGGCTCTCTTACAACGAATTTCCTTTAGCAATCCTACAGCAGACAAGAGAATATTTGGGGTTGTAAGAGGCATTAAGTTTAGAACGAGTTGATGCCCCTCTTTCTACTTGAAGTGCGCTTGATTTTTAAAGCAATATAAAGCATTCAAGTGCCTGTTTTTTCCCCCGCTGGAGTGGGAAATAAGAAGAACCTCCTTGGATGGGAGTCCTCCTGGGCAGAGAGTGAAAGCCCCAAAGAACGAAAGGGACGGAGAAGAGGGGCTTGCCGGAGCATGGATAGGGACGGAGCGGGGGTTCTCCAGGGCTCAGCGCGCACTGACGATCTGTGCCGGGGGCTGCAGCTGCGGATGATAAAGGCGCCGTCTAGCTAATGAAGGCCACCTGGATCAGGCTTCTGAAAAGAGCCAAGGGAGGAAGGCTGAAGAATTCTGATATCTGTGTAAGCACAAGGGCTTTCCTTTGGGGGAGATGTTGTTTTGTCTCTGCTTTTCTGTTGTTGCAGCGTGCAGGCAGAGAGGGTGGTTTGATTTAGTTAATATGGTCATGTTTGCAAGAGAGGGAGCTAGGGAGAGCCCTATCATTTTTTGAGCTCTGTTTCCTGCGTCTTGATTTACTGCTAGATAAGCTATCCCAGCAGGTGTTTTCTGTAGGGAGCTTTTATTAAATATCTTTGTAAAGGTATTTAACGTGTGTTGCTGAAAAATGGAGCATAACTAGCTGCTGGGGACTTACCGTTTTGTCAGAGAAGGTGTCAGGTGTATCACAAGGTATGAGAGGATTCTTAAGATTAAAGTGGGAGTTTTATCATGGTAGTGAGTGGCATTTTAGAGAGTTCAAGTTTAAAACTCTTCAGACTTCTGTGTCTGGGTTAGGCTTACTGTCTTCCTCATCGTAAATACTTGCCTTAGTATGTAGATTGTTCTTGAAGCTATCCTTGAAACCCACGGATGCCCTTCAGCCCGGCACTGCACCACCAAGCCGGTTTAATTATAAGGGAGCTGGTTCTGGCTTCTAGAAAGGATCATTTTTTAAATGCTGCATAAAGCTTAGGAAGGAGTGGTCACTCAGGAGACACAACTGTTGTAGTGAATGGTCTGCAAACCAGAGCATGACTTTCTAGGTGGCTTGCTGCAAAATGGATTGTTTTCTCCTCTTTTCAGGAATAGATAGCACAGTGCAGGAAGCTAAAACTCAAGAGAGGTTTCCAGTGCAAACATCTCCAACTGAATCTGTTTTCAAACATACATTTTCTTCCCCAGGGTTCGGCAGACTCCTACACCAGCCGTCCATCCGATTCAGATGTATCTCTGGAGGAAGACCGGGAGGCAGTGCGTAGAGAAGCTGAGCGGCAGGCCCAGGCACAGCTGGAGAAAGCAAAGGTAAGACCATTTCTAATCCTGCCAAGATCTTTCTAAACTGTGCCATGCCCGTGGTTGACCACTGGTAGTAGTTTCTTTTGAAGCCTGTGTTTGGTCCATGAAAGAATTCTGTTGTCTGGTCGAGAAGAGGCCCAAGAAATAGAGTGTATTTTCTTCTCTGGGTGGAAAAAAAGAACCAAAACATAGAAGAGAGGTCTCTACTTTTACATTGTTTTATAATCCAAGAAACTTATTTTCATGGATGGATGGCTTATTTAGACACATGCAAAAGCATTTCTGAATATACAAAGACAAAAAACTGCATCTAATATCAGAACATTGTACTTAATTTTCCTTGTAAACCATATCTCTGCTAAAAAAAAAAACGAACTTTCTGGCTAATGTTTATTTTCTTAGACTTGAACTATCTTTTCCCTGCTATTACTCCACAAATGCTTTATAATAGTGTCTTCCAATTATTTGGAAAATGGATTACTTTCTGGTTTTCAAAAATAAAGCAACAAAGGATTTTACTTATTAAAAAAGTTCCTTCCCTCAAAACACTTGCTTCTCCACCTCATCATAATGAAGTATGGATATATGGAAGGAAAACTGGAAAATCAGATATGAACTATATAAAAGAATTTATCTCGGCCCATTTCATTTCACTGGTTGTAATGATTTGAGTTCTTTTCCCATGCAGTCATTTGAATAACAGCTATTTTTAAAACATACATTGCTGTCCAAGGTGGAGGCACCTTGTTTTGTGGGATACTCGGTTCCTTCCTCATGAACATAATGTGAAATGGTTCTTGGTTTTCTTTTGGAAAAAATCGCGGCTTTGAAAAAGAATGAGCTCGATGTTGATTTTGCTGGAAAAAAATCAGGGTAGCATCACAACATTTCTGCTGGCTGCTCCCTCTCTGCAATGAGTAAAATCTATGTGTGTTGCTATGGGAATCGTGGTTTGGAGGTTCTGGTTTGGATGCATGGGCAGCCCTTATGTAATATTCATGACCTCTAGTGCAGCTGCCGTGGTACTTCACGGAACAACTGCCAGGAGACCTCGACTTCTAAAAAGCAGTATTTCTATATATCAAAACAGTGTTCTCACCTCAGCTGGCAGAGGAATCGTCCCCAGGTCTGACAGTCTTAACAGTGAGACAGCTCATAAACAGCAAGAGCAGGGAGGGTTTTGCAACAGTGGAAACTGCAAAACAAGGTGTGGCCCGGTTGCCAGCAACTAACCTGCTCCAGGAGAGTTAGCCATCTAAAACGTTATGAAGTTGCAGCTAAGTAACAAAGGGCCTCAAATAATGCACGTAGCAGTGAGTCAAGTCAGTTGCCACAAGGCGCACTGTTGTCAATACATGGTGCGTGGAGAATTGGAGTTCTACATTCTGTGTTTTGCTCTCAGGTGTAAAGAAATGTCAAGAAATAAAAATAACAGTTTGTATTCCAGAAATAAAATTATTTATAGCTAATTTATTCATGTAATTTTCACACACCCAAATAAAACAGTTTCTCAGACAAATATCCTATCATCAGGCAAATGAATATATGGTAGGTTTGGTTTTCAAAGTCTTTAGTTACAGAGACAGAGCTGCAGGGAACTTTTAAATATCTTTTAAATATCTAGCATGGATCAAAATATTGGGGGTAAATCAAACCAGGCTCATGTTACTTGTCATACAGCCTAAAAAGCTGAGAGTTACAGCTGATGTAGAAGACAAAAGAGAATTTAAAACAAAAAGAAGGAAAAAAAAGAGAAGAAAAGAGAAGAGAATTTAAAACAAAGGCATCAGCGAAGGACTCTTTACTTTGTTTAGTGAAAATACTGGGTTGTCCGAGAAGTCATAGCATATTTTTTTTTTTTTTACATACAAAAATGTGTCATAACTTTTCTGGCAACCCAGTAATTTATTGACATTCACTTCTTTAAAGTTATGTCAAATTCTAAAACCTTTATATTCAAATGAGTTACACTAGGGCTAAGTGAGAATTTGAATATATTCTGAAAGAAGATGGAAAGATTAGGATTGATGTTTACTTTGTATTAAAATTATGCTTTGGTAGATCTGGATTGTTAATTCCAACATCCTTGAAGAAAGAAGGCAGAAGACGGGGGTAGATGACTACTTCTTGTCTAGGTTATTTTTAAATATTCCCCTTTGCCAGCATATCATCATGACTTTGTGGGACCTATTTCAAAAACGAAACTTTTGGTTTAAAAATGTATGAATTTGTCATTCAGCTTTAAATCTTTTCAAACACTTTGCACATCCTTTTTGGTAGAATCAACTATTTTCTGCATTTATTTTGTAACCATCATAGCCTCTGCCCAACAGAAAGACTTTCCAAGCTGGCGCTTTTACTCACTCACCCGACAGATCACGTGTAAAAAGTCTGTGCAGATGCCTAGAACAGACCCGGGTCGTGCTTTCAGATCCTGGTCAAATATTAATATAAAATTATCTGCCAATTGTCTTAATAATACCTTTACACAATAAGGTAATTGGCGAGTAGTGAAACTAGAGACACTGCCTTTTGAAATTAAGTGACCTAAAAAAAAAAAAAAGCATTATGTAACAAGGCATTCTGTACTGCCCATAAAATCCAGTGCTCTTCATTACCACTTTTCTGTGGCTTCTCTTTCACGAGTAAACTCTACAGGGAACAGATTATATATTACTTCTGAGGCAAATGAATATCAACTGGCATGACCTTGTTTTTCACTTTGGTGTTTTCTCTTCCCAAATGTGTGCTTTGATCTTGTTCTCTGTTGGCTTACATTGCGAATCCTGTGTCTTTAAGTGGGTGCTTTTTGATACTAAAGACAATATATAAAGTTAATTTATTCCCACATTGATCTTTCCTTTAAAAACAACTTTACTGAGATATAATGCACTCATTTACAGTGTTTAATTCAATGGTTTTTAGATGATTTTCATTTCCTACTAAAGAATCCCCAAGCCTATTATTAGTCACTTCCCATTTCCCCTCAATGTCCCTCAGCCCTAGGAAAACACTATTCAACTTTCTGTCTCTCTAGATTTTCCTGTCTAGAGTATTACATATAAAGGGGATCATATGACAGTCCTTTGTGACTATAGGTTATTTTCTTTCACCTACATAATGCTTTTCATGTTAATTCATGCTATCGCATATGCCAGTACTTCTCTATTGACAAATAAAATTTCTTTGTATATGTCACATTTTACTTATTCATTTATCAGTAAGTAGACTTCTGGGTGTTCCTACTTCTTAGATACTGTAAGTAATGCTGTTATGGACATTGGTGCACGTGTTTTTGCATGGGTGTATGCTTTCATTTCTCTGTATATTCCTGGGAGTGAAACTGCTGGGTCGTATGATCATACTTTTTTTGTTAATCAAAAGAATGATTTTTTTCTCTCTCTTCAAAAATTATGTCTTTTGCCTTATTTACAGAGACTCTGAGTGGGAAAATTTGGATGTGGTAGGGATTGAAGCAGAGACAAAATATGTTCAGTGCAACATTCTTAGTAGAATGAATTGACAATAAATTTTGAGCCCATTGTTGCCTCATTATTGAATGTCCACTATGTTAAAGAAATTATACTTGGCATAGTTGGTGAGTGGGAGGGATTACAAAGACAGAGTCAAGGAGTGAGCAGGTCTGCTGCCAGCAGGAAGATTCAACTATTTATTTAGAGGGAGAAGTCATGGTTGTAAAAACTAAAATAGAAGTAGGGAGTGAGGTTAAGAGATCCATGAGTACCCAGAGGAAGAGAATGTATTCTGCTGGCAGGAACAGAAAACCCTTTTGCGGGGGGTGGTGGAAATGGCTTAAAACTAAACCTTACACAATTGGGGGCCAAGAGGTGGCATGGTGGTTAAGGTGCCAGATCTCACGTTACGGACTGTAGTTCGAACTCTGGACCCAGCAGCTTGAAAATCACTCTGGACACATATCCAAAATCCTGAGAGGGGAGGGGAATGGAGGAGAAGAGACCACAGCATGTCCAGCCTCTCTGGTGGTGATTTCTCACTTTCCCCTCACACTACCTCTATCAGTCTCTGGCTTGTACACATGTCAAAAGCCATAAAACAAACAAAAACAGAACCAAACAAAAAATCCTAAAAACTAAACAAAAACAAAAACCTAGACCTTATAGGGTGAACTAGGGAAGGCTAGTTCCTTCAGTAAAAAGTGAGGAATGGAGAAGAGGGAAATGCCTCCCAGCTCTGACACTCACTTTATAATATATGTAAAAGCCAGTGTAAGTAAAGGCATGGTCCTGCGCTTCCAGATAAAGGTTAATGTTTTAGGATTTTGCAAGCTTGAAAATGTCTTTATTCTAGATTCATGTATAATTATAGTTTGGCTGGGTACAGTATTCAAAATAGGAAAACTTTTCCTTCAGATATGTAAAGGTATTACTTCCTAGTCTTCTAGTTCTAGCACCACAGTGGTCGATGATGTTTTTGGCTTTGAATATTACCTTTGTGTTTTAATGGACTCTAATATTTTGAGAACTTTTCTTCTTTCAGTATTTTGGCATTTTGACATCATGTGCCTCAGTGTGGATCTCTTTGTTTAATATTACCTTCGTGTTTTAATGGACTCTAATATTTTGAGAACTTTTCTTCTTTCAGTATTTTGGCATTTTGACATCATGTGCCTCAGTGTGGATCTCTTTGTTTATCATAGTTGGCTTCTTAAGCATTTGTTGTAAAGGACCATCACTTCTGTTTTTGAAATTTATTGATTTTTGTCTTTGATAACTTAACGCCCTATATTTTTCTCTTTTTTCCCTGATTTTCTAGTTTGTTTCATATTTTAATAGAGAGTTCTTCCATCATAATTTTTCTCTACTCTCTCTTTTAGTTCTACTTGAGATTTTCTCAACTTTTTTTTTCTTTTTCTTTTTTTTTAGAGAGAGATTTGTGTGATAGGGCACATGTACTCACCAGAGAGACAGAGACAGAAAGAGAGAAATCACCCCCTAGGGGGATTGCCATGCCACAATAACTTCTTC